TTTGCTGTGGTCTGCAGTCATTCCTCTGGTGAAGCTCACAAGCTATTTACTGCTGCTCTGGAGCACAAAGAAACAGGTGGAATGGGAAGAATGAATTGCCCAATCATGTGAATCAGAGGACAGAAAGCATTTAAGTAGGCAATATATACCATAATTACGTAATAGCTATTTAATAGACATCAGGGTGAGTCTCCTGGGGACAAAGGAAAAGCCAAGAGACATTTCTTCCCTTAGTTAAAAATTATCAGGATTTTAACCCCATGTTAACACTCAGAATTACATCCCCTCCTCTATATCCGTTGAGCCCTCCTTTCAGTTCCCTGTGAAAGAGTCCTGAGGTTGCTCAAATTAATGCCCTCATCCCACAGTGACCACTGAATACAAGATTGATTAGGTCCCAAACTATCATGTATCTGCTTTTCAGGGTACATGGGCAACCAGCTGTCACACTGCACCCAGAGAACTTGGTGCTGTGCAGCTGGATAAATGGGTTCCATGTTTATAACATTGGCAAGAAAAGGGTTGCACTTGGGTTTGAAGTTCAGGGGCTCTGGGTTTTAGCAAGAATTTATACTCTGACCTCAACCAAACTGCTTATTCCTTCCTCTAAGGGCTGACAAGGCTCCTTCATCTACACACAACAAAGAGAAATATCAGAGAGTTGCAATGTCGTGCCACCTCTGCCACATGGGGCTATGCAAAATCCTCTGCCCCACTGCCCTCACCTTCATCCTCCTCTTCAGATGCCTGGCCTCACCTTCCCAGAGGATGTGCCACAGTGCCCTCTTATCTCCTGCTCATATCTTCTGTGTAGGACCAAATATTGACACTGTTCAGGAATGGCCCTTGGCTGTGAGCTCATCTCCTAACCCTCAAGATAGCCCTTGACCTCTCCCCCGAGCCCTGAAACACACAGAATAAATGCAGGAAAAGAGTCACAGTGATAAAAGCTGGTTTGCAGCAGTTGGAGGGATAAGCCCAGCTCATGATATCTGCTTTGCAGCAGCTCATTTTGGGGAGTCTCAGTGACACTGAGTGACAGGCGTTTGGATAGTGTTGTAGCATCATCCTCTGCTGAAATGAGCTTTTCTCTAGCCCTGACAAAACTCCAGTTCATGATGTCCCTCAGATTTAATACAAAATAGAGAAAATCCCTCACTATTTTTCTAAAGGAGTGTCCAGATCCTGAATTTTACAGTACCCTTAACAATGCAGTGCAGTGGCTGTGCCATGGGATGACTGAATAAACACCAGAGTGGAGGAGCCAGGATCATCTGTGAGTTATGAGCTTGTACAACACTTGACACACTGGATCTCCTTCCTAATCAGGGGTTGTTAAGATGCTGTTGTAATAATATAACATTATATAAAATGCTTTATATATTTAATCTGCTAATTAGCCATGATAATAACAAGTAACTCTATAGCTGAATGCATGAAACCTCATTATCTGAATCCAGTTTTTATGTGGCTTCACTCAGGCTTTATCAAGTGTTGGGCTCATTTAACAGTTTTCCCATCAGCCAGAGCAGTGATCTGGGATTCTTCCCTATTCCTTGGTTATTTATTTCCAAAAAACACTGAGGGTTCTAATAGGAGTCTACTCCACTCACACACCTGGGGGGCAGGCAGTAGAAAACGAGACAGGAAGGCAGGAATGGATCTATCAATAGCTCCTGCCCTGCTTCCTGCTTGTTAGTGTCTCTCAGCAGATGTCAGGTAACCTTTAGAAACCCCCTAAAGAAGATGTCATTTATCAGACATTTCTTAAATTGAGATAAAGGGAATTTGGACCCTCTAAAATTATGGGCATCCCAGAAGGAAAAAAAAAATATTAAAATTAAAAAAACCAGAGAAAAATAATAATAAATATAAAGAAAAAAAACCTTTCTCAGTGCATGTATTATATCTCACAGAAAGTTTTTGTTTCTAATACAGCCACAGACCAACTGTGGACTTTGCACTCCATCTGTAGCTAAATGACCATATTACACTGATGTGTCTCCCCATCCCCTTGGTGCTCCCGCTGCTCTGACTGCAATCCCCAGCAGAGCAGAGAGGAAACACGAGCTTTAGCAGCAGAGGTCCTCCCAGGAGCTGAAATGCTTCAACTCTAGGTAAGAGTAATTTTCTGCCTGCAAAAACTTGTCAGCAAGACACTGCTGGCGGTGGGTGGGAGAGTACGACACAGGCTCCAGCTCGGTGTGTGGAGGGGAGGAAAGGATTTTCCATGGGAGCCGTGGACCAGCCCTTCGTGCAGGAGCCGGTGATGGAGAGTGTTGCTCACTAGATGGCGAAGGATGCCTTCCTCCCGCAAAGCTCCGACAGCAGCAGGGACTGATGAGGAAAGGGCTTGGATCACCGAGGGGAGACTAGAGGAGACATCTGGAGCCTGCTAAAGCCGCAGGAGAAGGAAGGCTGAGTTACAAGGCTGAGGAGGAGGTGGTACAGCTCTCCTTGAGGAGATGGTGCCACATGTTTGAGAATCTCCCTCCTCACTTGATCTGAAAGAAACCTGCGGGCAAGGCCACAGCCACCAAAGCTGCATCACCTCCACAGCAGCATTCCCCTGCTGTCCCAGGGCTGTTCAGCACATGCAGGGACAGAAGTGTGTCAGAGCCAGACTTAAATCCTCCCACAGAGGCTGTGTTTGTTTGACCTGAATAAACCTCATGATTTGCCAGGCTGGGAGGCTTGGCTGCCCCGGGTACCTTCAGCCTCTCAACCACAACCAAGGAAGCACAAGAAAGGACAATGCTCTGTCTAGGGTGCTTGGCTATAAGCAAACCTGTCACTCTCAAACAAATTAAACAAAACAAAAACCCCAAACAAACACATCAATTTAAAATGCTCAAGTGAGACAAAGCTGTGAGCCAAGCAAGACTCTTTTGAAAGTGTTCAACTGCACTAGTGAGTCATAAACCAACACAGCAACTATGGCAGTGAGTTAGAGGAGAGTAATTTCAGCCACGTTTTTGCAGCAGCTGGATCCCAGGAATGTCCTGCTCTTACAATTCATCAGTGTTTACAAGGCAAATTCGACACCATTTTAACCAGATTTCCCTACACAACCTCAGCTATTTGCAAACAGCTCCTTCTCAGAGATGCTGGCAGCTTCATCCCAGGTGTGCTCAAATTTGCACCCTCTCTGTCTGCCCAGCCCAGTGTGAACCTGTGGCTGAAGCTGCAGAAAGGACCAGAGGCTGTGTGTGCTCTCCCAGTGTGAGTGTGGTGGTCATGGCACACAGATGCCAGCTCAAACATCCAAAATATCCCTTTACATAATGGAGCATCCTCTACTCCTCCCTGGGAGATGCCCTCATGAAAATGAAAGCCCATCTGAATTTACCTCCAGGCAGCAGCACCTGTAACTTCACACCTGAGTTTACAAATATGGAATAAAACACACACATAGAGATGTGTTGATATATGCCCAGACATGAATATATAAAGCAGCAAGCAGATTTTTGAACATTGCTCACAGCCTTTTGGAATAAAATCAGTCCTGAGGGTAATATTTAGCAGCCTGAATTTTTCACTGCTTTCTCCAGCCCCAGATTCATTATCTCCATGCTACATGTTTTGCAGAATAATGCAAATGTATTTCTGTTCAGAAAGCCAAGGCTGTTCCTGCCCAGCTCACCAGGATATGAAAATACCTGCAAGGTGGTACTGACATTTTTTCTGAAGCTCTTTTCTATTTAACAGAAGCAAAGTCACGTTGCTGAGAGACCCCTTAGTAACAGGAAGCAGTTGTCCAGTTTAAAGAACCAGCTAGAAAGCAAACAGCTTTGCCTCCTTTTTAAAGCCCCTCAGGACAATATTTACTTTTCTAAAATATCATTGTGCCACGGCTTTGGGACTTTGCTTGACAAACTTGGGGGTCTCTGAGCAGTTCAAAGTGGGCTTGACCTATAGCTGAGCATGGAAAACAGGAACTGCATATAAATAACTAAATTACAGAGAGATCAATTCTCAGTCAACTCATTAGCAATGCCCGGCGTCTTTAAGTGATAACTCCACTCTCTAAGACCTTTACGTAATTACTTGCACAAGGCACATTTTACCCTTTGGTTCGCAAGTTTCATAAATGAAGGTTAAGTTTACTTAACCACCCAGGATTTACCAGCCATGTTAAAGCATAAAATGCATGTGCTGCCAGGTGTCTCTGCAGAAACTGCCTTGTTGATTCAGAGACTCCAAGGTTAAATGATGGCTCCTGAGTCCAAGTTAGCTTCCCACTGGGGAAGGGGAGGATCTGCACTGTAACATTGTACCACAGTTCAGACAGGGTTGATTTAACGAGGCTTTGGAGTTAAGATAGCACTGATTGTGAAAGCCTGAATGAAAATCAGGGGCTTTGCTGTACAGCACATACCCATAGCAGGAATCTTAAGTGTGTAACACTCCAGTTTGTTACAGAAAGATAGCTACATTTTTTTCCCTAGACAGATACCTGATTCTATCTTCTATCTTTCTATCTACACTATGTGCACACTTGCACATCTGTAGGATCCAGATTTATACAGCCTTCATATCTTTTACTCACTGTTCCTACAAGTGATAGGCCAGATTTACAGCTTATGTGAATCAGCACAGTCCTATTAATATTTTTGGCAAGTCATACTCACCAAAGTTAGATTGTGTGGTTTAAGGGTGGTGGGTTTCTACATCTGTGTTTGGTTGATTCTTTCAACACAGAATTTTGGATGTTCTGGTTTCTCAGCTTTTGCACACATTCAAGTTTTTCAGAAATCACTGGAGCACCCAGTGGCTTAGCAAAGCTGTGTGTGTACCAGGAGGAATTGGGTCAGAGAGATGTGAAGCCATTGGCTTGTGTAATGCAGGAAACCTGGGAGACAGCAGCCCATGGGACATGCATTTTCCTTCTTCCAAACCAAGCTCTTTACCTGACAGCAAAGTTGTCCAGATTCTGCCCCTCAGCCCAGGTGTGCTCCACCAGAACAACGTGATGGGCCACAATGCTGACTTACAAGGAAGGTCCTCAGGTCTGGCCAAGGCTGGATCTACCATTCCATGGAATGCTTCAGCAATCTCTCCCCACTGCTGCCTCTCCTGGAGGTCCTGCACTCCCTCCTTCAGCACATGGACAAAGCAGAGAGGTGTTTCCTTGTGGGTCACACGGGAACCCAGGCAGGAGCTGAGAACTGGCACGTACCTCACAAAGCACAGAACAATCTGCTGGGGACCTCTCAAGTCCCATCAGATGATGAGGATGCCTGAAGTCTGATCACCTGAAGTTTGCTCAGATGTTTGGTCACATTCTCATGCACCTGACAGAGGAAAGATGAGTGTATTTGATCTTCCACATGGTGTTCAGATGAAGGCTGGAAAATTCTGGTCAAAAATCTGGCTCTCAAAGCCATGCCATAACTGCTCCATCACACAGAGCAACCCACTGATGTTTTGTAACCCAGTTATTGCCATCTGATCCCAGGGAAAGTTCAAGAAAGCATTCAGAAATGTAGCATGTTACTCCTTTGTACACTGACAAAACAGTGATCTCAAGTCAGTCAGCATCACAGCATGAGAAACATCAAATTTCCTTCTTCTCCAAACCTACAGCAAGTAAAATTCTGTTCAAAATACCACTGCTGTCTTCTTTTATTTTTTTCCCTGAAGAGGAAAAGATCAGTGAAAGAAGTTTCCAACACACTTGTTCTTCCACTGTCATTTTCCACAGGGCTGACTACATGGGGAAGTCTGCTCCTCAGTGCCCAGACTTATGCCCAAGGATTGATTAATTAGATGTCTGATGGCAAAAATGTCCATACTTTTTCCTGTGGAATATCCATATATAACCAGATATTCCTATGAGTAATACAGAATAGTTTCCATGAAGCTGCAGAGGTACCACTAAAAGAGAAAACCTCTCCCAGGTTTCAAGGCAATGATGGCTGCAAAGCCCTCACTGAAACATCTTAAAATCAAGGAAAATAAACCAGATGATGTTTCATTCATATGTAGAAATTGGCTTTGTGACTTAGACAGGGCTAACCAGTTCCCAGGCGCTGATGAGTTCCTCAGTAATTTGGGAAGGGAGTTTTTCAGCCAGGGTGCAGTTGAACACAGATCAGGATTTGGTTCCAAATCAGGATGGCTGATTTGGAACCAAAAGTTCTGTTCACATTGCCAGCATGGGGTTGGAGCTACAGGTGTCAGTGCACAGATGAAAATGGTTTGAATCAGTTGTGCCTACATCACTGTTAGACCTGAATTCAAATCTGAGTCAGCCCCATTCTGCCAAATGTTTTTTAAGGCAGAATTTGAGCTGATAACCACGAATGTGAGCCAGTATAAGTATGGGATGGTCTTGGTTCACACAGACCAGTAGGATGGGTTTAATTCCCTTTTTACATATTCAGCAATCTACATCCATTCCTATGAACATGATTACAACCACTGGTGAAACACCTAACTCACATCCAAACAGAAGTGTAGCATCTCTCTGCCACTGGTTAGCCCCAATGAAACCTGGAAAACTGTGGATTTATCTTCCAGCACAGCTCATGGTGGCAGGTTAGAACTTCCACCCTCTGTAGTTCTGGGTGCTTCTGTGCTTCCTGCTCTTCTTGAGGGACTATTGGTGCAGCTGTCGTGGTCTGGAGGGAGGTACAAGGCACTGTGTGCAAGAGGAGGTAGCATCTTTTATTAGAACACACTGGGTTGGAAAAAGTAGGTTAAGCTTTAAAGCACATGAGCCTTTCTTCAGGTTTTGCCTAATTAAAGCCCTCTGCCCATTGCAAATCTGAGTGTGATTTTAAGGGCAGGAGAGAAGTGGTGCAAAGATTTTGTAAAGGGCTCAGCACAATAGGCTATATATTGCAATAACTAACCATTAGTCTTGGGGAAATAGCTCAGCCTCTGATCTGACATTTTAGCAGCTAAGAGCTCTGGCTAACAGATCCTACTCTGAATTACTCTCTCAAAACCTTATCAAAAGGAAATGGAGCCTTTTGAAATTGCTGGCATCTCTGGAAGACTGGTTTATCAAATTTCCCCTGGTTCAAGCAGAAAACCTCTGTTTTCCTCTGCTCTTTAACCTCTTATTTAAAATGTCCTTTTACTTTGAACTGTCAAAAGAGGCAGCAAGGGAAGCAGCAAGTTCACCATCAGGAGGAGGTGAAAGCTGAAACTTTACCCGTCCTTAGTGAGTTTATCCACATATCAATGGCTTGCTATACCAATGTGTTTATTTTTATGACTAGAGCATATCCCTTAACCTCAGGGATCTGAACATTTCCCTGGAATGTACAGACGTTTCATATCATTTATTTCCCAGCGGCCCTTCCCCACACATGCATACATAAACACACACGCTTCTATCCACATTCTCTTGATCACACTGCTGTACACAACCAGCAGTTTAGCACAAGCACACAGGCATCCCCATCCATGGCACCATCCCCATCTGTAGCCCTCTGCAGGAAATATAAATGTGCACATTCCTCTATTTAGACGTAGGTATTTGTAAGAGGTAGAGGAACATTAATGTCTATGGTTTGTGTGTGCATCTATTCATACAAGACACAGGTGTGAAAATGCACATAGGTGGAAAACCAGGACTGCAAAGGGCACTAACACATGCCACGGATTCCCATGGCTGCTTGGGACTTTGCTGTATGGTTTCTGCAGCCTAGAGAAAGCATTTGGGTGGGATCCAAAGAACTTCCATTAGTCAAACATTTGGATTTCACTTACCTCTGTCTTTGTATCTATTTTAATGGGAAAACTCCTGCCTGGAGCTAATAACCAAAATGATGGAGCAGATTCCCTCTCAGAAGCCCTACAGCAATTAGGATTCTGTGAAGCCTCTGCAGCTTTGCTCTGTTACAGCTCTGTCCCCTTGCCATATTTACTCAGGCTCTAATGAGATGTTACCAAGCACTGAGGTTGCATTCAAGCTCTCATATAAGCAGCCAGCTGAGGATTGGACTCCTTTATCAGTTTGTGCTGCTTACCATGGGCCAAGGTCTTCAGCTGGTGTAAATCAGCCCAGCTCCACCGAGGCCATGAAAAATGAGGTGCATAAGTTAAGCATCTGTCTCAATGGCTGATGTTTATCTTTGCTCCCATTGCCTCAATTGCACTTAAGATGAACATAAACCCATGAAAACAGTTTAATGGGACATGGGCTTTCTGCTGATCATCTGCATGCAACTGAATTTTACTCCATTTGATTGCTAGCCTGAGTTCAACAGATATGCATGTTACAAATAATTTGTCATGCTCTGAGGCGCGTTCCACCCCAGGCCACAAAATGTTCACAGTAATTGAAATATACAGCCAAATTCCAAGCTAGCATAAATCTCTGCTGATGTCAAGCCATATGGAAATCCATATGATTTGAGGGCTGTAAAAAAACCTAACAGCCAACCATGCCTTCTAGTGAGAGACTTATGCAGCTCAGTCTGATTATTCTATCACAAAGAAGATTAAGAGGTGGCTTCACTAGAATGTCCAAGTACAGACGGAAAAAGGAAATACCCAGTATGGAATGGTTCTTTATTCCAGCTGAGAAATGACACACAGGAGTCATTGCTTGAAAATAAATGCCAGACAAATTTGAATGCATGATAAAGCATAGATTTTTTTTAACATGGAATCATTGATCAAAGGATAAAGTGGACTCTACAATTAAAAGTCTTCAGACCAAGGTCAAATGCTTTTGTCACAAAGTTCTTTCTTCTAGGATATCTAGGTGGGTTCAATCTAGCAGTAACAACATTAGCTGTTGAACTTAATGTTTTCTAAGAGGCTGTGACTATTTATAAGAAGCCAGTGAATTAAGGTTGAGAAAAGCCACTCTGCTATCAATAGGACTAAATTTACTACAGATAGATTTCTCTTCCACTTGAAAATGCTTATGGGACTGCTAAGTAAAAAAATAGAGCAGAAAGCACTGAACTTGATAAAACACAGAGCTGAAGGACAGACTAATGATCCCTTCTCTTCACAATTATCTATTTACTTCAAAGACCAGTCGGTTATCCCTAAAATCAGAACATTTTTAGAGCTGTGAAATTAAATTCTTCCAGTTACAACACAGAAAAAAGAGATGAGCCCTCTCAAACATGAAAGAGGAAATATTATTGATCACCGAGAAAGAAATCTGTGTCTTGCTAAATTTGCATTCTTTTGCAGCAAAATCAATGGTTTTGAAAGGATCCCAACTGCCAAGTGCTGTGGTTGCTCCAAGTTTCAGCATTTAGCCTAAGAAAGGCCAAGGTGCCAAGCTGATTTTTTAAAAAAAAAGTTAAAAAAAAAAGTCTTTGCACCATCTGTTCTCTAGCAGTGGTGAATTCCTCAGGCTGAGATGTCATCAGCTTCTCATTATTATTCTTAACGATTCTTCGAAGTCAATCAAAATCAGAGACAGAAGAACAGATTTGGGGTGTTTGTGCTGTGCTTGCACACTGCACTGTGCCCAAAGTACATACGGTTTTTTGGTTATTTCCATCCATGGCTCTTTGGCAGCAGAGCTTGGAGTCAGAACCCTGGCTTGTCAACCAGATGATGATTATGTATTATATATAATCACAATGAAAAGGAGATTTGAGATGAAAATCTAAAATTGGGATGGGGTGGGAGTGAAACCAACTCACTCCAGGCAGCTTTCTAATTTCAGTCACTGGTTCAAATCGCTCCCAGAAGCCACAAGGCAATGCAGGATCCCTGAATTTCTTGGAAACTGGTCCTGTGCTGTCATTAAAACCAGTGGGATGCTTTGCTGTGCCTCTGCTGGAAGCCTGGGAAGGTTTTAACCAGGGGCATCCCATTCTGGGGTACACACACCCCCTTTGCAGTAGGTTACAAGGGGATAATTAGAACAGAGAAGAACCAGGGGCTGCCAGGGCCAGGAGGGCACATCTGTCAGCTGTGCTTCCTCCAGTGGCAATGCTCACAAGGGAAGAAAAGCTTGAGGGAATCCATGCTCCAAGATGCAGAAATAAAACTCATTTTCCAGAGAAAGAGCAGCAAAGCCCAGCAGTCCTGATCTCCCTAACACATTCTTGGCTTCCTTGGGGCTCTGCACAGTTCCCAGCTGGGTGAGTAACTGCTGATTTATCCAGCTACACTGCTCAGATGGGATTTAGGAAATAAACCAGAAGAGACTTGGATTAAACAGCCAGTGCAGAGTTCCAGGGCATTTCCCTGGGATTAGCAATTGCCTAAGGGATCAGCCAGTGGCACTTCCATGTCAGATAAAGTTCAGGTGCAATGCTGCCAGGGCTGGAGGAAGGCAGGAGCCAAATTCCAACCAGGGTAAGTGCCACCACCCTAGAGAAAGGCCCTGTCCCTGAGGACATTTTTGTGATATGCACTGGCCCCTAGCAGTGATTAATGGTGTTGGGCAGAGCCATGACATGGGAACTCTGATGTCCAAATCAGACTCCAGCCCAATCTGATGTGCCCTCTCTGATCTGATGATCATGGGCAACTGAACGGTGTCAGGTCTCTGCTTTTCAACAGGCTCACTAACCTGCAATGTAATGTTGGCTGGTTAAATGGTTAAAGCAGTAATTTGGGCTCAGATGAGGCTATCTCCTGTTGGACTATTAATGATGGCATTGTAATATCACCACTACATCATCTTGCCTCCACAGAGGTTCCCCACCCTCACAGGGCAAAACCTTGAGCCTCTCCAGGCAGAGCTGAGCCCCTGCACCCCAGGCTGAATGCAAGTAAATGTTCTTAAATTCTGGCTGCTCTATGGCCCTGGGTGTTTTACCCTCAAAAAGGGGGTGGGAGCAGTGACGAGAGGTAATTAATGCAGAATAGATATGCACATTTCCCTCAAGGTCAAAGCAGCAGTTTCTTCCCTACGTGGTGCTAGAAAAAGAAACAGAGAGAAATCTACAGAGCTGAGATTGAGGGCTTGCACTTGGCTAGAGATGTCCATGCAGATAGATGACAACAGTTTGTAGGACAAATCAGGCTTCCTGTTCCTACTCATTAAGCCCTTTATTGGCTGCAAGGTGTCAATCCAACAAGTGGCCCATCAGATAGATAAGCAAGGTAGTAAAATAAAAGATAAAGTAAAATACTTTACTCTGTGTGGCTGAACTGAACCCCCTGGGGAGCACTACCTGGCAGAATAGAACCCAAAATAGTTGTGAAGCTACAGGAAAGATGCTGTACAAACCCCCTCATAAACCCCTCTGTAAGACAGAAAACTCAGAGGTTGGAACAACTCTTCCATCTCCCCTCACCAGTTTGTTTCTGATTATTTTGCACACAGATCACAAGGAGAAAAAAAAAAAAGTGTCTTATTTCACTAGGGAGGGGGAAGAGAAATACACTTGATGGTACTTTAAAGAAACATCTTTCCTTTCAAAAACAACAATTCAAGTAAATTAATAGGCCTGGCCTGATGAGTATGAGTCATCAAACTAACCACAAAATAAAAATCTGGTTTTTAATTTAGAGGAGAAGGCAGGAAAAAAGTTTATAACATAATTAATGCATTTTTTAAATTAGACAATATTACCATGACTGGACGACAACTGTAAGTTTCCAATATCAGAGATCAAAATGGAACCCCTGAGACATGACCCAGCAAGAGACTTCTTTAGTGACCAAATGATTAGAGTTTGAGATCAAAATATTACAC